TTATCTTTTGGACTGTATTAGGCTTAACGCCTAGACCTTGTTGTTTTGTTATTTATATATTTCCCCTTTCCACCAAAAAAAAAGAAAAAAGAGGATTGTAATGAGATTACCCATGTATAGTTATAAGGTAAAGTGTATTACCACCATTTTAACTCAATCGTGTAATGACCATTTTTTTCCAACAAATTTGGTAAAAAACTTAAGAAAAGATATAATAGCAACACTAACAAGTAAACCCACTTAGATTTGCTCGGTCCAAGATACAAGGACACCCACAGAATTTACTCGCCCAATATTCTTCAGGGTCTAGAAAGCTACTCCAACAACTTTATTTCCCATGATTGCAGGTCCTCCACTATTACCAAGATTAATAGCAGCATCACTTTGTAAGCCCAAGACCTTGCTAGCCCCATGTACATATTGTGTCGGCTCAACTCTGGATTCAACACCTTTTGTCACAGAGATATTATCCCCTCCTTCAATCAAGTCACATAACGACTGTTAATTACCAGAAAAAAAAAAATCAAGTCAACTTCACTCATCACTCTGAAACCTTACTTGTAAACAGTTAAATGTTCAATGTTCCAACATCCTCTTTTTAATTATATAGTTCTATTGATTTCCCATAAGATTTGATGATTCTGATTAAGGAAACTCCTAAATGTTCTCTTAAGTCATGATGCCCAAATCATGGAATGCTTGGAAAGCCCCATTTATGATAATTTAATGGAATGGAAAAAAAAAATTTGATCGAATTCTATGATTATTTTACATCATGTTATGGAACTGTAAGTTTAATTGAAATGCTTAGTGATAACATTATACACGATCTTATGTAGTTGAATCGTGTAGTGCATTTTACACGATGTTATGATGACTCTTAATAGATAAGTTTCATTAGTGACAACATTCCAATGTTCATTATTAACAAAGGCTTTTCAAAACAAATCTAATAATTAGAAATTTATAATAGAAAGAGGCACAATCATGTGAATAGTTACAAATTCCTATAAAAACAAATGAAACATCAGCTAAACTATAAAATAAGTTGAATAACATATATAAAACTAATTATAACTACTCCGTAGTATTACCTATCTCATTAGCTATAGGCACACAATCATCATCTTTTTTCAAAATCTTGTAAGATTCAGAACTAGATTACTTTTGCTCACAAGTACCCCAGTTACTCTAAGGCCCATTCCAAAATGCTCTCGAAGCTGCTCATTTAGCCTTGCCTGGCACGATAATGCTCTCGAAGCCCTGTAACACCCCCAAATCTCCTTCAACGGAAATACTACTACAATACGTATAATTACACCATAGAGATAGACTTAGGCGTATTACCGCTGCGTGATTACGCACGGCTACTCAAACTTTTAATTAAAACTACAACTTCGCAGCGGAAATTTAAACTCTTTCTTTATTAATACTTAATAAAAAAAAAGTAACCAAAGTTATGAGTACTCAAAATAGAAACAAAGACAAACATTCCTAGATCTAGGTGAAGCATATCTCGGGACTCCCAAAATGCTCATTTATTGACTCCACCTGAAAATAGTCAACACTACTTACCATTAAGGTAAACAAGACGAACAAAAACAAATAGAAAATACAAACTAGCAAAATATGCTAAGTACGATTAATGCAAGATAAGTAAATTCAATTTATTAGAAAACATGCTTTTAAAACTAATTCCAATAATTAATTCAATAATTCCAAACTCATGATTTAAAAATCAATTCTCAATATACTCAATATATTTCCAATAACTAAATAATTCAATAATAGTGATTATTAAAAATCAATTCCTCTCTAAGTATGGACACCCCCTAAGCTAGTACCTTTATGTTGAAAGGCTATCCTTGAGAAAAGACTAGGTCATACAAAGCCTATATTATTAAATGAATCCGCATAGTGGGATTAATATAATATTCATCCTTGTAAAGCTTTTATAAATAAATCAATAAATCAATAATTCCAATCTTTATATTAAAACAATTCAAAACCTCCTTTTTATTTAATCTAACATGCTTTCAAACTCAAACCTTTTAAAACATGATAAATAATTTAATCATTCAAAAATTCCTTCAAAACTATTTATTAAAACCAATTAGTTACACATACTTTATTTCATAAATCATAATTCAATCCAATTTAATCCAATCGTCATAAAAATTATATAAAACATGCTTATTCAATCCAATCATTTTCAAAGGTATCTATCCACCTAAACGTACCTTGATCCTCGCTTAGCAAACACACAAAAAGGGACCTCAAGAACTATTGTCAAACAAACCCTACAAAAAATATAACCTTAATCAATATAAGGTTAACAAATAATCAAAACAATTACAATAAAACCCCTAACTATATGTACATGAACTTTATAAAATTATTTTTCATAAACTTGAATAATAAATTTATTTTATTTAATTAAAAACACTCATAATAATTTTTATAAAACCCCCATAATAATAATAATATAATTAATTAAGAGAAGAGGAGAAGAAGAGGTTGAAAACCAAGGAAAGAAGAAGAAAGGTGGCTGTTGTGGGCGGCGGCGGCTGGCTGAGGAAGGTGGCAGCCGGCGGTGGAGGTGGTGTTTGGTGGTGGTGGCCGAGTAAAAGCAAGATAAATAGAGGAGAGAATTAGAGAGATTAAGAGAGAAAATTAGAGAATTTGGTGTGAGTGTTTAGCTATGATTCAAGGGATATTTATAGGCTACTTATGCAAAAATTATGGTAGGATAATGTAGGAAGAATGGTAAAAAGAATTAAGGAAATTACTTGGAGAAAGAGAGCTAAAGAATTATGGAAAGCTTAATTTATATTAAGGTGACTAAGGAATAATTAATTAATGGAAATTGTGTTGTCATGAAAAATAATATGGCAAATGGCTTTGCTTGGGGAATAATCAAGGATGATATAAGGTAGGAAAATAAGATGATCAAATATTTAGGAGATGGAAAAAAAGAATTAAGGAAAAGCAATAGAATTAAGGAAGATAATTAAAAATACAAACTACCAAAATGAGTCACCCCAAAATCAATTAAGATGGCCGAAAATTTTGAGCAACCATAGCTCAAAATTTCGGACCCCTTTAGTAGAATTTAGGAAGTTATTTTGCTAGATTTTAAGGATTAAAAAAATGATTGTGTAAATAATATATATTTTATAAAATAATTAATTAAAAGAATACCAATTACTCACTAAATAAATCAACTAAGAAAATCAGATTTTCCACACTAAGAAAATATGAAATTAATAGCCAATCATTAGGAATTTCTGGACCTCCTAATTATATAATAAAATATAATTTTTGCTTAATTAAAATATCCGAAATATATATAAATAATCCGGTTTTTAAAATAAAATAAATGGATGATAAATCTTATCAAAAATCCAAAAATAGTAATTAAGTTTTAAAATACTTTTGGCGCCAAAATTCAAATATCATTTTGGCTCCAAATTTAAATAGTAAAATAAATTACTAAAATACCCTTTTTAGAAAATATTAATTAATTCATTAATTAGAAAATACGTTTAAAAAATACGAGGTATTACAGTCTACCTCCCTTAAAAGAAGTTTCGTACCAAAACTTAGCCAAAAGAAATACGAAAATCATTTTAAATTATTTTAAGTTATTAGTTCATGCACATCCTAACCCGACTCAAGACTGCAACTAACTCAAGGAAGACTCAAAAACACTAAAAAATGACTCAAAACGTGAACGCGCGAAACTTTATCGTCTCTACCCCCCTGAAAAGGAGTTACGCCCTCGTAACTCGCCCACTAACCTTAGTTAAATAATTTTGGGTAACGTTTCCTCATATCAGCCTCAGCTTCCCATATAGCCTCCTCGGTTTTATGGTTTGACCATAACACTTTCACAATTCTCACATCCTTATTCCTTGTGCTTCTCACTTTAGTATCCAGAATCTTCACTGGTCTTTCCTCATAGGTCAAATTCTCATCCATCTCAATGGTTTCAGGTTACAACGCATGTGTCACATCAGGTACATACTTTCGAATTTAACTCACATGGAACATGTTGTGAAACCTTTCCAATACATTGGGCAAATCCAACTTATATGCCACTTTCCCTACTTTCTGAACGATCTCATATGGCCCTATGTACTTTGGGCCTAGCTTTCCCTTCTTCCCGAACCTCATTACTCATTTCATGGGTGAAATCTTCAACAACACTTTCTCTCCCACTTCATATTCCTCATCTCGCTCTGATCTTCTTTTCAAATCAGCATAACTTTTTTGTCGATCTTGGGATGCTTTTATCTTCTCTTGGATCAACTTCACTTGTTTCACCATATCCTCAATCATCTCTGGCCCAAGTACCATACCTCACTTATATTGTTCCAACAAATTGGGCTTCTACACTTCCGACCATACAGAGTTTCAAACAATGCCATTCCAATGCTTGCATGATAACTATTGTTGTAAGAAAACTCTATCAAGTCCAAATGGTCTTCTCAAGACCCTTGATACTCCATCACACATGCACTCAACATATCTTCCAATGTCTGAATTGTTCTCTTGGTCTGACCATCTGTCGCAGGATGAAATGATGTGCTCATTAACAACTTCGTTCCCATCACCTTTTGCAAACTTTGCCAAAAGTTAGGCAAAAACCTTGAATCTCTATTTGAAATGATATCCGTGGGTACCCCATGGTACTTCACCACAAACTTCACATAAGCTCTTCCCAACTGATCCATAGTCCAAGTACTTCTCATGGGTATAAATGCTGTTGACTTCGTCAACCTATCCACTATTACCCAAATAGTGTCATTTTTAGCCTTGGTCTTAGGCAATGCTCCAACAAAATCCTTAGAAATCGAATCCCACTTCCACTTTGTCACTTCCAAGTATTAGACCTTTCCTTGAGGCATACGATGCTCAATCTTCACTTTCTGACATGTCAAACACTTGGCCACAAATTCAGCTACATCTTTCTTCATATTGGGCCACCAAAAAGTCTTCTACATATCCTTATACAACTTATCCCCTCCAGGATGCATTGAATAAGGTGAATTATGGGCTTCCTCCGTCAATCTTTGCTTCAAATCTCTACGACTTTGTGGCACACACCATCTTCCCTTCAAACGAATACTTCTTTCATCACCAATGGTGAAATCCAAAACCTGACCTTCATCGATCTTTTTCTTTATTGCTTTCAGCTTCTCGTCTTCCAATTGACTTTCCCTTATCTCATCATAAATGGATGGTTGAATTACCAATACATTCAACATCCTAGTCACTTCTCCATGTTCCATAACCTCCAAATTCATTTTCTGAAATTCCACACACAATTGATCTGGTACTACCATTACGTTCATCGAATGTTCTGACTTCCTCCTCAAAGCATCTGCCACAACATTAGATTTTCCCTCATGATATTGAATATCCAAAGTATAATCACTGAGAAATTCCAACCATCTCCTTTGCCTTCTATTCAAATACTTCTAGGTGAAAATGTACTTCAAACTCTTATGATCCATGAAAATCCTACAAGTCACCCCATACAGATCATGCCTCCAAATCTTCAAAGCAAACACTATTGCAGCTAACTTCAAATCATGGGTTGGGTAATTCCCTTCATGTGGCTTCAACTGCCTCGAAGCATTTGCAATCACCCTTCGATTATGCATTAAAACACATCCCAGTCCAAACTTCAATGCATCACTATACACTTTATAAAGATCACTTCAATCAGGCAAAGCCAACACAGGTGTTGTGGTTAATCTTTCTTTCAAGGTCTGAAACCCCTCCTCACACTCTTTAGTCCATGGAAACTTATGCTCCTTTTTCATCAAACTTGTCATGGGCTTCGCAATCCTTGAAAAATCCTTCACAAACCTTCTGTAGTAGCCTGCTAAACCCAAGAAACTTCTCACATCCGACACATTCTTTGGGGTTGGCCATTCACTAACAGCTCGAATCTTACTTGGATCCACTGAAACTCCTTCCTTGGAAATCACATGGCCTAAAAATGCCACTTTTTCCAACCAAAACTCACTCTTTGACAACTTAGCATACAACTGGTACTCTCTTAGGCATGACATTACTTGTCTCAAATGCTCCTCATGTTCCTCTTTATCCCTTGAATAAACCAAGATATCATAAGTGAACACCACCATAGACTTATCCAAGTATGGCCAGAAAATTTTATGCATTAAATCCATGAACACTGCTGGTGCATTGGGCAAACCAAACGGCATAACTGTGAACTCATAGTGACCATAACGGGTCCTGAAAGCACTCTTTGGAATATCTTGCTCTGCAATCCTCAACTGGTGATAACTTGACGTCAAATCTATCTTTGAAAACACTCCAGCCCCTTTCAGTTGGTCAAACAAATCATCGATCCTTGGTAATGGATACTTATTATTCACTGTAACCTTATTCAGCTCTCAATAATCAATGCACAACCTCATGCTTCCATCCTTTTTCTTTACAAACAACATTGAAGCTCCCTAAGGTGAGGAACTAAGTCGAATGTAGCCTTTCTCCAACAAATAATCTAAATGAGTCTTTAACTCTTTCATCTCAGTTGGAGCCATCCTATATGGAGCTTTAGAAATAGGTCCAGTACCAGGCACTAGGTCGATAGTGAACTCAACATCCCTCACTGGTGGCATACCAGGAATTTCATCGGAAATACATCAGGAAACTCTTCTATAACTGGAATACTTCCTTACTCTTATCTTCCTCACTTCCAACTTCTTGAACACTACACTTAAATAGAGGATAACCCTTCTTAACAAACTTTTGTAGTTGCATTGTAGAAAGAAGTCTTAACCTTGAACTCTTCCCTTCCTTTCTGTAAGTCACTCTAGTTTTACTTGGGCTATTCAAAGTAACCTTTTCAGCTGCACATTCAGTCTTGGCTTTATACTTTCCTCACCAATCCATACCTAGAATCACATCGAGATCCTTCAAATCGAACTTAATCAAATCCGACGGAAACTCTACCCCAGAAATGGAAAGAGGTACACTCTTAAACAACTTGGAACAATTCCTCACTTCCCCAGACGGAATAAACACATCTAGAGAAACTGACTCAGGACTCTCTAACCCGAGACTTTTAACTACTTTCTTAGAAATAAAAGAATGGGATGCACCCCAAATCAAATAAAACTTTCACAGACAAAGAACTTATAAGGAAAACACCAATTACCACATCATTAGAAGTTTCAGCCTCACAGTTGTTCATCACGAACATACGACCCTTTAGGGCACCTCCCGTAACGCTACTGGTTCCAACCTTGGGTGTAGATCCACTAGGCTGAGATGGTTTTCTAGGAGTACTAGACTCTTTCACCTTTCCTGACTTCACGTTAGCCTCTTTCTTGAAACACTCATACTCACGGTGTCCTAACTTTTGACAGTAACGACAAGTTATCGGTTTTCCCTCACAGTCCCTCCCTGGGCGGTCTTTCTCACACTGCTTGTAGAAATACTTTTGCTGGGGTTTCTCACCCCTTTAGTTCTTATTGCCTCTAGCATTGTCGACTGGCCTCCATTCCCTTTCCCAAAGTTCCCTTTGTTATCCCTCCTATCTCTAGAATTCCCTTGGTGGTTACCATTAGGCTTATGCCTCTTTTCACCCTCGTGAAAAGAGTCCTGGTTCTTCCTTTTCTCTCCAAAATGCTTCATCTCCCTCCCCTTGAATTTGTATAGGTGGGCTGCACGACCATAGGCTTCATCTAAGGTCTCAAAAGTAACTCCCCTAGCTTCCCTTGGAGGGTCAAGGTTAGGCCTTGCTCAAATCTATGAACTTTGATGGTTTCAGTGGGAACTACTTCCGGGGCAAACCTCATCAACTCAATGAACTTGTTATAGTACTCATTGATAGACATTTACCCCATTCTCAGGTTTGTAAACTTCATACACTTTTACTTTCTCAGGTAAGAAGGGTAAAACTTCTCCCTTAAGGCTTCCTTAAACTCATTCCACCCAAAGTTTGGTCTTTTCAGCAACTCATCCTTTCTTTGGGCCCACCATAAGTCAACTTCCTCTCTTAGGTAGTGAACACCATTATTCACCTCAGCTCACTTGGGCAATTGATAGCATCAAACAACTTGTCAAACTCCCTAATCCAGTTTTCAAGACTGGCTGGGTCCTCTTTCCTCAAGTAATTAGGTGGTTTGGCTGCAGAAACTCTCTTAAAAACTTCACTTTAAGAGTCAAGGTCAGAATTATGGTTTCCTTGGTTCACCACTTTCGTGATTTTTTCAGTGATATGGGTTAACTTTCTAAGGACCTTCCCTACTTTGGAACTAGTGCAATTACTTCCCATTTGGTTTCTCATCCTTGTAGACATACTTCTTGGGTATAATTACCATACTTTTGAAAATTAAAATAAGTTCTACTCATATAAGCATTTAATTCACTCAATAACATAGAAAAAAATTCAATAAAATAACTTCATTTCATTAATAATTAAATTAAAAGTAAAACTTCTCCATCTAAGAAAATTATTAAAAGCAATAAACATAGCATAACTCAATCATTCAAACAACACTCTCAGAATAGTCATCCTCATTGGGATCATAGTCAGGATCATCTTGCTTAGCGTTTCCCTTTTTATCACTTAGGTTAGTCATGAAAGTTCGGTTATATCCACTGTAACTTGGAGTATGGCCTGAACTTTAATTTGGGTTGTAATTTGGGCTTTTATGTGGACTAGCACAACCACAAGTTGGATTTGAAGAAACATTGGGCTTTTGTTGAACTTTTGGTGAAGATGGATGGTATTCAGGACTTGGTGGCTTTTGATTAACTTCTTGGGTACGAGTTCTAGGCCTTTTTGCAACATGGAAATGGCTTTTTGGGCTTGGTTGCCTTAGAGGTTCATAGCTTGGAGTATGTGAAGGAGAAGGGTAATTCTTGCTCCTCCTAAGAGGTGGTATGGACTCATCATTGGAAGACTTAAATTCATGGCGACGTTTCGGTATGAAAAAGGTAGTTGAGCATTTAAGTAGTACATTTGTTCATCTTCTCTCAAGGTAGCATTCTTTGAGAGTTTGGGAAATCTCACCACTTTCCTCCTAGGCTCATAGTCACGTTCAACATAATTCAAGTCTCTTTTAAGGCTATACATGGTTGCTTACCACTTCCCTTCATGATGCTGTACTTCGTTCCACATTCTATTATCCTTGATTACATCCTTATACTTATCAAAGAGAGGTTTAGACTTGAGAACTCTAGGCAAATGGGCTAAGGCCAAGAGAATCATCCAAGGTGGATGGGTTAACACTTCAAATCCATATCATTCATAGAGGGTTAAGGCCAAAGTTACTATGCCAGTCACAAACACACTAACACTGACTCCATCATCTTTCAAATATTGCAAGTTAAAGTATTTCTTTCTCATTTCATCAATCTTTTCCATCTATTTCACATACACATGCAAAACAATCAATTCAATGCCAATTCACATAAGCAATTCAATTCAAAAACCCATTTCCATAAGCAATTCATAACTTAATCAACCAAGTATAACTCAAGATTACCCAACCATGGGCAATAACTTAAAAATTTCGGAACTATGACCATAGATTATGGTGTTTTAACACCAACTTTAATGCACACATAATAACATAACTCAAGCTTTTAAATAGTTTAAATTCTTTCGATAATAATAATAATAATAATGTACTTGAATCATGATATTAGACGGTCGAGCACACGTCTCCTAGGTAAGTTACCTACAGCGTCGAGGAGAGCCTTGCCTAGATAGAGAGACGTACTCGAGAATCCTTTTCTCAATCATCTTTCCACAAATAAGAAAATAGTTTATATATATAAAATAAAGCTTTTGACTTCCACACACAAATGCGAAACTCTCCTATACGCCCTCTTAAATCTACCCACAATTTTTATTTTTCCCAATTTTAATCTTTTTAGGACCTTAAAAACTGATACCACTTAGTAACACCCCCAAATCTCCCCCTACGGAAATACTAGTATACTACGTATAATTATACCATAGAGATAGACTTAGGCGTATTACCGCCACGTGATTACGCAAGGCTACTCAAACTTCTAATTAAAACTACAACTTCGCAGCAGAAATTCAAACTCTTTCTTTATAAGTACTTAATAAAAATAGTAACCAATGTTATGAGTACTCAAAATAGAAACAAAGACCAACATTCCTAGATCTAGGTGAAGCATATCCCAGGACTCCCAAAATGCTCATTTATTGACTCCACCTGAAAATAGTCAACACTGCTTACCATTAAGGTAAATAGGGCAAACCAAAACAAATAGGAAATTCAAATTAGCAAAATATGCTAAGTAAGATAAGTGCAAGATAAGTAAATTCTATTTATTAGCAAACATGCTTTTAAAACCAATTTCAATAATTAATTCAATAATTCCAAACTCATGATTTAAAAATCAATTCTCAATATACTCAATATAATTCCAATAACTTTATAATAATGATTATTAAAAATCAATTCTTCTTAAAAACTCAATTCCTCTCTAAGTGTGCACACCCCCCAAGCTAGTATCTTTATGTTGAAAGGCTATCCTTGAGGAAAGAATTGGTCATACAAATTCCATAGTCTTAAATGAATTCGCATAGTTGGATTAATATAATATTCATCCTTGTAAAGCTTTTATAAATAAATCAATAAAT